TTGGATAAAATGGAGAAGGGGGAGAGGAGGGAGAAAGGGAAGGGAGGAAGGAGAGCAAAAGAGATAGAAATGGAGACAGACAGAGATAGAATCAGAGACAAACACAGACAGAGACACATTAAGCAGCTAAGCATCAACTCTCATCTTTCATTGCTTACTGGTCTTCCCGGATATGAGGAGTCCCTTACTTCCGTCACCAAGGCCACTATCATACATTCCCAGCCACCTTGGCCTGTATCACAGCCTTCCCTGTCACCATGGCCTCTATCATGCCTTCTCTGCTACTGTAGACTGTTTATTAGTCAGCATTTTTCTAGAGGAACAGAGCATATGGAAAGAATATGGATTTTATATGATTGTGTGTATTGCTATTCCATTTATCAGCTTGGGTCTCAAACTGAGTAAAAGAAACAAGGGAGAGAGAATGGGGAGAGGAAAGGAGGGAAGCAGAGAGATATAGATAGATAGATAGATGATAGATAGATAGATAGATAGATAGATAGATATCAAGCAGCTAAACACCAACTCTCATCTCCTGTTACTTCCTGGTCTGCCCAGATACTAGAAGTCTTAGTCCTATGCCCATACATATATATGCACATGTATATGTAAATGCATATGTATATTTGTGTGTTCATTTATAGTACATAATATTTATAATACATATGCATTCATTCATGTATACTGTATATATCCATATATGTGTATATATGTTAGAGAGAGGGCATGCAAGTAAAAAAAATAGCAATCTTCCTTCTTGTGTCCTTTGTACAGGCTGCCAGCAGAAGGTGTGACCCAGATTACAGGTAAATCTTCCCACCTCAGAAGATTCAGATTAAAAGTGATTCTTCTCACTTCAAGTGATTTAATTAAGAAAAATCCCTCACAGGTATATCCAGCAGTTTGGGTCTTAATTAATTACAGATGTAGGCAAATTGACAACCAAGAGTGACCATCACAATTCCACCCCTTGTCAACTTTACACACAATCATATCTCCTTATGTCATGTTTAATTTCCAAATGAAACCAATAAACAGGTCATAATTATGCCAAACATGATATAAGTATCTCTTGTATAAAACACAAACATACCATAAAATTTTAGAATAGGTGGCAATGACCTTGGAGGGACACTCTTTTAGTATCTCAAACTTAAATATGATAATCACTGATACTCTCTTATTTGGTGTTGTGTTGCCTGATAAAGATTCAAGGATAGAAAATGTAAATATCTGTGCAAAACATATTCCCAACCAAATACAACATAAACACTCATATCAACTATAATTTTCTTTTTGCAACTGGACAGCTGGTATTTAAAACTGCCTTCTTCTACTTTGATGATTCCCTCATGGAAAGCCTCACCCTCCCTGGGGAGTGGATGGGGGACTGGGATTGAGGGGGTCAGTGGGGGGGTATAGGAGGTATGGGAGGGAGAATGAACTGGGATTGATATGTAAAATAAGATTGTTTCTAAATTAAATAAAAAAGACTATATTAATAAATTCAATAAAGTTGCTGGATAAAAACAAAACCAAACAAAACAATTTTCTACTACCCATTCTGTATTTCTTCCACCCTCAGCAAGCACTTCAGCTAGTCTTGTTTTTTTCCCTTGAGGAAGGACTGTACCTTCAGTCCTGAAGGGTCTATAGGCCTTGTCATCCTTCCTGGATTAGGCTGTTGTAGTTTCTCATTGTCGTTAACCACAGGATGTGGTAACACAAAAGGATGCCTAAAGGGCTTCCTTTACCCCAGTTATAATCTTTCTTACATCAATTGTGGAGAAGAAATCCAATTTCATATTGGTAATCTGGATAAATCACACACCCCAACACTTCTTTCTTGGCATGTTGGTTGTGGGCATCAAAAGCCCAAAATGGCTAGGGGGAGTCTGAGCTTCCAGTCCAATGGATGCTCATTGTATCTCCTGGCAGGATCTCTCAGCCCTTTGGAACCAAAATTTCTAGGTCAATAGAGCTTAAGGTCATGGAAACAGGAAGTAAAATCTTGTTAGTGGGTCACTGGAAATGATAGTGAGTGGAACCATTTCCTTTCCCACCCCTTGACCAGTGGATCCTGACTGTAGAGAAATTGTACCATATCTTAGATGCTGATTTAAAGAATATAACACTTTCTGGAGAATGCTGCCCAATTCCTCCAGGATACTGCCACCTAATTTGCATTGTAACCATGTCACTGTGTCACAAAAGGGCCACTACATATTTATGTCATGGTAGCTGCTTCAGGATTTCGGGTAACATGGTAAGGTCACAGGACTCTGTTATCATGGGCCCACAGTCACACTTTTCTATCTGTGAAGTGACTTCCTTGGTCAGGAGCAATATTGTATGGAATACCATGATATGTATGAATGATTGTGTGAATGCCATGAGGCATTCTCTAAGTCCACAGATGGTGGTTTGGCATGAGCATTACGCACAGGAAAGACAAACTCATAACCAGAGTAAGTATCCACTCCAGTAAGGACAAACTATTGTTATTTCCATGTCACTGGATGGTCACCTGGAGAAATGGTGCTATATTTGAGGCTCAGTGTTGGTTTCTGATGTTGGCAGATCTGACAGCAGCAGCTATATCCATTTCAACCTTGCTGGTGGCAGTGCGTTTTGTTGAGCCCATGCATTACCTTAATCTCTGCCACCTTGGCCACTTTGCTCATGAGCCCATTGGGTTGAGAAATGATAGGGGTAGCTGGGAAAAGAGGTTGATTGTTCACAGAACAGGTCACCCTATCTTTTCAGTTACTGAAATCATCATCTGCTGAAGTTACCTTGGATGTGCATTTACATGGGACATAAGTATCTTCACATCCTTTGCCCATTTGGAGAGATCAGATCAATCCCTATCCTTCTTACCCAGATATATTTCTCACCAATTTTCTGATAATGCTCTTTCTAAGTCCCAGACTATGCAGGAAATCCATTGGTTACAGTCCATGAATCAGTGAACAATCTCATATCTGGCCACTTTTCCTTCCAAAGAAAATGTATGACTATGTGAATTGCCTGAAGGTAGGCCCACTGTGAAGATTTCCATTTGCTGATGCTGTCTTTCGGGGTTTTCCCAGACACGAGTTATAATTCTGTAGCTGTCCACTTTTGGGTGGAGCCTGCTTACTGTGCAGAACCATCAGTAAATCCAGCCCTTGTCTTCTCTTCTTCAATCAACAGACAGGACACACACCGAGAAGCTATAGATGCATGCTAGACAGCAGATGGCATTGTAATGGGGGTAGAAGCCATGGGCATTTGGGCAACTTCTTCATGAAACTTGTTTGTGCCTTCAGGACATGCCTGGGCCTGACCACATATGAAACAACTCATTGGGTACCAGTGCTGCTGTGTCAGTATGTCCTGAACTGGAACTTACATTCCACAAGATCACCTCTTTCTGTTTTCCATTCCGTGGAAACTTGTACAAGGAAAAGGGCACCATGCTTAGTCTATGGAGGACTTAGCTTTCTAGTAATTCGAATAATTCATTTGACCTAACTGAACTAGTTCAGTGTGGTCCCTAAGAAGTTATTTGAGATTGCAAGCTTTGTTCTCATTCTCTGACTCTGTGATTTGTGATAGGAAAGCTGGAGCTGCTTAGATTATTTAGGTCCAAGTGGAAGCTTGCAACAGCAATGAAAAGAATGGAACAAGTCAAGCTTTGGATGAAATGGCTGCATCACTGAAACAATTCTAACATCTGCACTATCTCAGAACCTTCAGCTTTGTGAGTCAATCATATGCTCTATTGTTTAAAGCACTTTGGGTTAGGTGTTTAATTGTGTACTAACTGAAGAAGCTCTGATTCAGTAGCTTGAAATTCTAAGACTTGAATTTTGGTGCTTACAGACATAAAAACATAGGCAAGTTATCCAACAAATTTGAGCATTTGTAAAATGATCATGGTAATATCAAGTTTTAAATTCATATATAACATATATATGGGAGAACAAATATAAAATACTTTGCTCAGAATAGTTTTCTATAATGAATGTGACTCCTTTCATGCCTGGCATACAACATGCTTTTTATATATAAATGCAAGTTAATCAATTTATACTCTGAAATTACAAGAAATTTAAATTATTTTCTCTAAATTCTCACAAACATGAATGAAATAGATATCCAAAATCATGGTACCCCCCTTGGGTTTAAAATAAGGATACATTTGATATTTCTACAATATGATTCCTACATACAAGGCTCAGGAAACATTGAAGAAGAAGGGATGGAAAGGTTGTAAGAGTCGGATATTAGGAAGTCTGCTGAGAGTGTGTCTTCTAGATACGACAAATAAGCTATGACAATATGGCTGCCACAACAAGATCTGAGCAATTCCAACACTAGTCAACATCACAACACGGATGGGAGAAATCTCACAAGGCTCCCACCCATAGATGAAGAGCTATAGACAATTAATGACTGTTGAGAACTACAGAAATAGTCTTCTGCAGAAATGAGCCCTTTAATTCATTATCCAATATGCAATGGTTAGTCCTGAAAACATATAAATACAACATAGGTTGTATTTAGATATGTAATAACATATTTGTAGCAATAATAATAAAAGAAAAGAGACCAGGAATTAGAGAGGGAGTTGGGGGAGGGTATGGGAGTTCAATGGAGGAAAGGGATGGCGTGATATTTTAATTACGAATAAAACTTTAAAAGGATACAAGAGGAGGCATGATAGAAATAATTCAGTGCAAATAGAACTCCCAGAATCCTTTGCATACTGACAAACAGTAGGCATCTCTGTGGTTGTCAGAGGACTGCATTTCATACAGAAAGCCTGGACTTTAAAGTAACATATGGTCATGGTAAGAGAACTTCTCAATATTGTTTGGTCACCCCTCTTAGAGGTTACTTCTACTGCACATGAGCAAGTTACAAGATGGAGGGAGGATAGGTTATCTGGTGCATTTTGATAGGGTTGAGAGGACTGTTAAGGTATGAATTAAACTTGTCATGAGAGCACTTACTGGTATCCACTTCAGTTACGACGATTGGTTTGGAGAACTGAATCCGGAATCCCCAGGGGTAGTCTCCAGTTCCTTTGAATAGTCTCACAGTTCTCTCTCGAACTGCAAGAAAACAAAGAATTCATTACTTTGAGTTGACATTCAGTGCTATAAGTGGTGTGTTTGCTTGTTGGTGACATGTCAGGCCCAATAGCAATGCTCCAAGTAATACTAGACAATAGAATACATTAATGATACTAAATTCTGGGTTTCATATAATGTGGTCTAATTTAATCTTCACAACCGATGATGACTGATGGTGAGAGAAGAAAATATTGAGATGTAGAGAGGTTAAGTATGCATGTCAAGAAATAAAGCTTACTACTGTTAGGCAGCAATATACCTTAGGTTCTATAATGACAATTAGGGTAGACACTTTTCTGATTACAAGGGAAGGCCCCGTCAGGCATCTTCCTCACTATTCTTAGGAGTCTTAGCTGAGGTCATCCTTGTGGATTTCTGGGAATTTCCTGAGCACCAGTTTTCTCCCTCACCCCATAATGATGAGGTTTTCTCCCTCACTCCCTCTATTAAGACACCTCTTCATTGCTCTCCCCTTCCCCCCCCAAATCTGGGCATTATTGATCCCTCCTATTCCCATCCCCCACCACTCCCTTAGGATTCATCCTTAACCACTCTGTCATAGCTATCCAAACAGCACACAGGTCTTGAAACACTGAGTTGCCTAGATCTTTAAATAAGAGACTTTATTACAACATTATTCATGGAAAATGAAAACTGAAGCAGAGTCCACAAACTCATTTACAAGAAGCCAAGAAAAGTAAAAGACCTGGCTCACTCAGAAAAAATACAAGAGCAACTGGGTTTGAAGAGGATGGAACTGTTAGTTTTGGTGATATTGTCAATGGAGAATCCTACACTCTTTTCAGTAAGAGTACATGGAGTTTACAGCCATCAAGCTATCTTCAGTTACTCTAGCCCAGGCATCAACTGTGCTTTTCCTCCTGTAATTGTTTTCTTCCTGCTACCTTCACACCTTCTTTTCTGTATCATGGTCTCTGTAGTGTGTGTGTGTGTGTGTGTGTGTGTGTGTGTGTGTGTGTGTGTGT